GCGCCTAATGTTGAGATCGAACAACTTTATCGAACGGTGTGATCGAACTACCGCAGAGGCTTCGCTCAATAGTCGACCAAAATAATCTTCATTACGCGAAACGCAAAATTACGCAAAGCCTAAACGGGGAATGGGCACTTCGTAAGCTACAAAAAATAGAGAAAGAAAGAGAGAGAGAAAGATAGAGAGAAAAAGAGAAAGATGCGGAACACATTGTGAAGATGAATGTTGAAAAAAGAGAAGGGACCTTGTGCGAAAAAGTTGAAAGGACCTCAGCGCAGCGAGCGTGTTTTCCCTGTGTTTGATTTAAGTAAAAGAAAAAGAAAGTACTTGGGGAAGGGGGGGGGGTCATAAGAAAGGAAAGTATACACATTAAGGGATGTAAGGGAAAGCGAGCTTCCACATTAACCACGGCGCGGCCACGATTAGCATTGCGGAGCTGATCGAGAATATGTAAGTCGCATCTTACTCGTGCCTGTACACAATTTTCAGACAACTGCCGAAGATTTTTCGTTCATCGTGCATGTGAGCATCGGGAATCCGAAATTCGTGTTCAACTTTTTACCTTCCCTTCCACTCTTTTCCTCCGCCACGAAAAAAGACACCTAGCTGACTTTGCCAAACACAACGAAACCGACCATTTCATTCTCAAACGCACGGGCGTTATCTGTTCCTAATATTTACCACTGTTGGCAAACCAACCATGTTTAGTTTATATGTAGCACTACCCAAAATATCATTACTACTTCTGATGTCATAGCAGAAAACGTTGAGCATGTTGATGCGCAGTAAAGAACAAACATTTTAATTTGCTTTCTGGTGTCGTTTTTGTATGTCGCACGCTGCGGTGTGATGTGTGTGATTTGTGTGTTTACTGTGCGTCACGTTGAATTTCTCATCATTGAAACCTTAATAGAAACCATCAAAGAGTGTTTATTTATTCATTCATTTCTACAATTACACTCTAGAACAAGCTGCATATCCGAAAGCACGGCGTGTAAGTTCGGGCCCTTAATCAACCACGAATAACAGTTGAGCCTGTTTTGCCCTCATGCATACAGCGTTTCCCCCCTCTTCGCCACACTTTTTCAATCCAGCAATGGAACTCTTAAGACGCCACTCAGTTGCAAGCTCTGTATTGGTGCGTATACGAGGATTATCAGTAGATCAAATGCACTTGCTACCAGACTTTTTCCTGTCTGTGGCAAGTTGTCCTTAATTTCGTTTGCTGTACTTTCTCGATAGATTATTGTAGCTACTTAGCGCGAACTGATAATCCCTCGAAAAGCACTCTTACATACACACCCGCATCCAGTCAAGAAACACACAACACACACGTCTTGAGTGAACACGTGAGTGAATGTGAGTGTTTTTCGAGAAATTACCAAGTTGCGCTAAGCCCCAATATATGATGATTTACCAACTATAGCCCAAGTACCCAAGCAACAATTGAGTTCTAATAATCTCCAGATTATGTAATAAGAACAAAACTACAAGTAAAATACTACAAATGATGTCTTGTGCACATTCCTGTTGGAACGAAGAAGTCGTTCATCAATTCCTCTTCTTTAGTTCGTGCACTTACACATGTGTTTTTTTCTCCTCAACTCGCTTGGATTCGTGCGCGACCAAGGGATCACCGTATGAAACCCGCTTCATTTCGTGAAGTGCGTTGCATATTTTGAAGGCAAATATACACGTTAACGATAAACTTCGAGGTCCTGATAAGTGTAACACTCAACGCAGTCAATGTGCACATGTCTGCTGAAAAATACGCTTATTGAACGTTTCTTTAATAAAGAGGCACAACATAGCTTAAACCAAACAGCTGAGCTGGCGTCTTCTTTCCACGGTATGTGTTGCATACTATGGGGAGGAAGACGCCGACCACAGAGAGACTCCCGAGACAAGTTTAACGATGTTCCTTCTACGTCATAGTAACAGCGTCTACGCGAATATGCCGCCCGCTGCCTCTCTTGTTCAGGTACCGCGAGAGGGTGGCCTCGGCGGGGATGTTCGGGGTGCGACGTCCTCCTGGGACTGACGGGCGGCGCCTTCCGGCGGCTCTGCTGGCTGCTCGTCGTCTCGCTCCTGGTCGCCCTGACCCTGCGCGAGTGGGCCCGGGTGTTTGGCGAGTACCACCAGTACGGGGTCTTCACCAGCGTCCACTACGGCACGCAGACGTCGCTGCCGTTTCCCGACGTGACCGTGTGCAACGTGAATCCGATTCGAAGGTCGGCGCTCTGCAAGGACCGCAGGCTGGCGCGTCGCGAAGCTGTGCCCGACCGAGTCTGGTGGAGGGAGTGTGACGAGCCGGCCGCTTATTACGAGGTGAGACGTGGGCACTGTATTGTTGAAACGCTGAACTGCGCTTATAAAAGAAGGCCACAAATACAGCAAAGGACTGCACTGCACACAAGCTGTCCTTTATTTTCGTTGTGTCCTTGTTTCATTAACGCAGTTAAATCTTTCAAGAAAGACCATTAATCAACTAGTACAACTTGCGGGCTTTTCTTCGATAGGGCTCTGAATTGTTCAAAGTGCTTCTGTTTGGAGAGGCACTGGATAGCGAGCCGAAGTCTGCTTACAACGACAATAGAACGTTTAAAGTCAATATTTTTGGCAACATTGCACAGAAGTAAGAACAAGGAGATAAAAAAAGAAGAAAAAGGTGGCTAGCCATGTCGCCATACCGCATTTTGTAATCTGGAATCAAATTAGAAGAATTGGACGTAAAGGAGAGAAGGCTAGAGAATAACAGTATCTGTGAATGTTTTCAGCACATATAAGCAGGAATAGGGGAATATATTGATTATATACGACAAAGGATTGTAGAAGCCAAACCAAGAAACCAATTAGAATAGATTCGACAGAAAGCTCAGTCAGTTGCCGAGTGTTAGGCTATGACTCCTAATGGTCATAAGTTATTTTAGATGTGGCTGAATAAAAATATTTTGGGAGTTGGTAAGTTCATTCCAACAGAACAGCGCAAACTACGGGGTAGTGAAACGCATAGGACAGGGTGCTGTGTTCATAGTTTGCTATCTTCTGCCACACTAATGAGCCGACCAGCCCGCCTAAAAAAACTTTTGGCAAGTTCAACTTTTTATATAGCTTCTATACAGCACATTGTATCGCATTTGTATCAGTAAAGCTCTTAGCTTAGTAAAGCTATTAGCTTCAGTAAAGCTGTTAGGTTAACTCCTGGCATAGACAAAGAAGAGTCGAGCCATAGCCTGTCAACGATTACACTAGAATGTCTATAACTCCAGCGCTCGAACTATAGGCAGCCGGCAATGCAGTTTAAGAGATCAGATGCTAGCGCCAGAACACACAGCCTAGCGAGTAGGCGCAGCAAAACCGAACTTGCACGTGTATATCATTTTTCTTTTTAGTTGTGACGAAGGGGGTTATGGCTGATTACGTAGCGCCCAGGAAGCGTTGTGTGAAAATGAGCCAGAAAAGGCACTGACACTTCAGCGTGTCACTGTGTTCAGCGAGCGTTCCATGTTCTTAGTATCCCTGGCGGTCGGTACCAACAATGCTGATGCGGCCCAAAGAGCTTCGTAGCGCCCTCTGGTCCACTGTCGGGTGCCTATAGTGTACAGCGGTAGAAGCGAGGGCCTATATCGTCGCTCGTAGTTGGCTCGCGCGAAGTTGAGAAGCGGCCCCATGGCAGTGCGCACTGTATCCGTCAGTGGGCGCAGCTGATAAGCAACGGCGTGGGATAAGCAAGGACGCGGAGAGTTTTTCGCGCACGCCCGACGTTTAATGTTAGGCTTTGAGAGCTTTTATTCTAAAATTACCTAGGCTCTGGGGTACCGCATCTCCGTACCACAGTAGATGTGCCAATGACCGAAATGGCGTGCCATGGATGCCCCGTGACTTATTCATAACTGGCGCGCAGCCGAACCTGGAAGACGCGGCGCTGCAGTCCGAGCTGTGGCTGTGGATGGCGCGCAAAAGGCGCCTCAACCGGAGCGTTGTGCGAAACATGGGACACCAGCTGCGCCACATGCTCGTCGCTTGCCGCCTGGGGAACAACGACTGCATGCATACCCGGTACGTGGCTCCTTGATTGATTTGTTGAGTTTAACGTCCCAACGCCACCATGTGATTATGAGAGATGGCGTAGTGGAGAGCTCCAGCAATTCCGCCGACCTGTGGTTCCATAATGAGCACCCAAATCTGAGCACATGAGCCTACAGCATTCTCGCCGTCACCAATAATGCAGCTACCGCAGCTGGGATTCAATCCCGCGACCTGCGGGTCAGCAGCCTAGTACCTTAGCCACTAGACAACGTTTTTAGATACTGTATCTAAAGACGTTGCCAATAGACCACCACGACGGGGCGGTACGTGACTCCTTGGCGAGCAATTTAACGAGTATATGTGTTCAGCGCCAACTATATCGACACATTAGTGTGAGTTGACGACTGCAACGCCGAAGGCTTCTCAACGACTCCGGCCCTCTATAGAGGGCTGAGGGCAGGAGTCGGAGCCTTCTCCCCATATCTGCTCTCTATAGAGGACAGGGGTTGAAGACTTTTTTCCGACTCCTGATCTCTATACAGGGTAGGAGTAGAAGGGGTCTCCCCGATTTATGCTCTCTGTAAAGGGCAGGAGTCGGGAAGAAGCCTACTGCTAAAGTTATTGTTGCAGTGTTAGTTAGGTGAACTATGAGATGCGAACTGAGTTAAAGTTGGTGTTCTTTATAAGCAAATTGTCAGGAAGTCGTGATCGCACTAACGATCCCGAACTTGTTCTCAAGAATGTTATTTTTCGCGTATCTCTCGCTTCTCCAACGATATTACTTCTTGTACGCCCCTGTCCCTCGCATCATGCGTTCGTATTCTCTCCAGTCTACGAAAGCCATATATTTGATTTAAAACAAAAATCATTAGTGATATTCTGAACCGAAATTCATTCCAGAAGGATGCATGTGGGCATGCGCGAAATCGCTGAATTGATTTTTTTGTGGTGCATGTTGAATTGACCGTTCATGGCAGGTTGGCGTCCTTCCACAAAACCTCCAGACCTGTTCGAAAGCCTTCAGTCTTGGATGCCATTTTGGCTTTCATACGCTTAATCTGAGAGGCTGAGAAATAGTTTTTCCAGTCGCCGACAGTCACTGTCCTCACGAGGCTTCCCCCTTTGAGCTTGTTGGCTCCGTCGGACAAGTCGTCTGAAGCTCCGTTCGGGGGACGGCCTTTGACAGACTTCTCCTGTTGCCTTGCAGAAAGGGCTTCGGCGAAGGCTCTTTTCATAATATCCGGAGATAGGTCTATATTGTAGAAAAAGAAAACAAAACAAAAGCGGATAAAAGATACTCATTCATATTAACATACGAATTAAGAGGACTCCATAAACCCCACACATCTACGGTATTTCAATGATCAGATTGTAAAGCAAGTCCCCAACCCTGATCCCTTATCTGAACATGCAGTAATTACGCAAAAAAAACCTACAAAAACAAATAAACAAACTTCAGTGGTTTGTTGACGTTGGCCATGGGGCCTTATAGAAAAGCAATAGCACGCGAGCTACAGAACTTGCACCGTAACACGATTAGTTGCAATTGACTAACATAATCGAAAATCGTGCTCGCCATCGGTATTCTCTGTAATAAATTTTTTTTCTGTCCTGATTGATGTTGTTGAGTCTTATGATGGCGATGGTGACAATTATAACTGCTGTTTCATTGCTTGACTCCCGAAGAACAAGGAAGAATTATGAGCTGAACGCTCGAAGGTTACATTTTATTCAACAAACAAATTTTAAATGAGAGAATCTTTCTTTCTTAAATGAGCCCTTTTCCTGCAGTGGAACAAATCACTACATACCGGTACGATTTCATCCAGTAAGGCATCGTCACTGATTTCCTTCCCGAGAAATGCAGCGATTTTTCGAATACCCGAACGAGGATCTTTGTTCATGTACTCGTACGCTATGCACAGAAAGTTAGGTCTCGCCTTGTGCGCGAACCAGGACGCTAGGTGATCGAAGTAATCGTTCGGGTGAATCCATCCGCCTATGAACTGCTCGAAGAACTCGTCGAAGGTCAGGTCACCGCAACCTGGGGCTTTTTGTTGCACCTGGTGGTAGTACGACACACAGGTGTCGTACGGGTTTCGAAGCACGTAGACATACCTGTTTCGATTGACACGGACACAGGCCTTGAGCGCATTGGCAAAAACACATTCACAAACACAACTTTCTAGAAAGTGCGTGACTGAAATAGATCCCCTTTTCGGAATGTTAAGAACTCTTTAGGGTTAAGAAAATTCGCTTATCACCGTATGAAGCTGTCACACGTTAGGGTTTCATTGACGACGTCCTAAATAACTGGGATTTAGCTGGCATTGGTCTCCCTCTAAGTACATATATAGGGGAATTAGACAACAGCCTAAGCTGACGGTGTACACATATGTTACACTTACTAAATTTAATGCACATATTCAATAACTACGTTCTAGCTGATGATCATACCATATAAAATTCGTAAGTGCAAGTGTAAATATAAATAAATGGGCAGTTCTGCATAATTATATGTGAAGACCAGGGATTATTATTTGTGGAATTTTGAATCTTCGTACGAGACACGCCTAATATGATAAAAGAAAACTTTCGAACTTCAATATCAACTTAAATACGCTGTTGTAATCAGTTAACCCTGTATAATATATGAAATCACATAAGTTTGAACACGTATTGTATTTTGTTGATTTGGCATTATATAGCACGTATAAGGAATATTGTTATTTTCCATAGAGATAATTTAAATTTAATGTTGTGTATTAACTTTCAGAAAACTTCACTAAATCGTGGCTCGACTTCGGCGTTAGTAGATGCTCCAGGCAACAGATGAGCGACGGCGCAAACAGCTTCTAGAGTAATCACGAGTAACTCTATGGAGCTGGGTTTGAGTGCTACGAGCCATGACTATTTTATTATGACTGAACAGCTCCAGTACTGGTGTGGTAACTGATTCATATTGTCACGGCGTCGTGACGTGGATGGAAGGAGCAGACTGCAGATGAAAGATGAAGCTGTTTATCGGGCCGAACTTGTGGCCATGTAAAACTAAAATCAGATTACAGCAAGACACTGACACTGATAGCGGCGAGCACAGCGTCGGCCATCGGTCAACTGACAAGCGGCGGAGCGCGTCGGAATATATACATGTGCCGTCGAATATTCCAACCTTGTCTCTGGGTCGTCGCGCAAGCTCAGGAACAATCTTGATTGTTCGCGTCTTGCGCGCATTACTAACAGGACGATTTAGAATATTCGCGAACCTTCTCTTACAATGAGTCGCAGTTTGCGCTGAGCATGCCTGATAGGCTTTGTGGGCGAAAACCGAATGAAGCAAAAAATGAAAATAGGGAACGCGCGCGGCAATGTTATGCTGTATCGACAACCAGAAACTGCTTCGATAAAGTTATGATTTATGTGCTAGTGAATTGATATGAAATGCAACATTAAATTATGGCATATACAGACCGCAGCCACTTTAGAGCTCGTCGTGTGCATTGTCTATACATTCGTGATCTTTTAAAGGGGTTCTAAGCCATCACTCGGGCTTTCTGGAAAAACACATTGTACAAACATCAACCACTGCTGTGAAAATTTCATCCAAATTTTGTAATCGTGCGTGGCAAGTAGACTTCTCGGCATGGTGAGTTTATGAGCGACATTGTCACTTTATCAAGGGCCATTTCATTCATATATGCTGTGTCACAGTCATGAAGTCACGGGGGGAACAACTGGGCACGCTATAATTGCATGATTCTAGGTAAAAGGCGCGAAGAAGGAAAATAGTGCTTGAACGATGCAACAATTCCCTGTAACTGTGCTCGTGCACGAGGCAGAGAGGAAAAATTTACTGATGAAATATTTTTTAGTGAGGACCCATTATTCTAGAAACCATCTGACCTGGACCACCTACCGGTCTTCGGGCTACCAGATGAAGCTGGCTCACCAGGTCTCACTTAGTGATCGCAGCCTCTCACGCTTCACTGAGGAGGTTTGAGTTCGCATCTGTGGCTGCTGGATGTTGCGGTGGGATGCTTCCTTTGAGAGATTCGATGAAGTCTTAAGGCGATCGGTTCACGAGGCAATAAACTTCAATACTGAATTCTTTTGATGATCACTTGAAAATGTTGCACAGTTATCCCACGCGTTATTTAAATGTATTGCCGTCTCTTTCCCTAGCTGCTCAATCAAATGCTTGAATCAAAATTACTACCCCAACGTTACACGAGATGCATACATACCTGGTCAATGTACCTTATGGTGAAGTAGCACGCTTTTGACAAGGACAAAGAGGACAAGATGGCCACGACATTTGTCCTCTTTGTGCCGGTCAAAAGTACGTTACTTCACCATACCGTATAAAGATCAGTCGATGACTATCCCAGCTTTGAACCTCATTATATACCTGGATTTGTGCAAAAAGCGAACCTTCTCGAAGGGCAGATGCGTCTTGATCACCAGTGGTAGTCCCGGAATCCTGGATAACTTCTAAACCTTCTCGCCACCAGCGAATTCCAGGAAGGCGACGTTAGGCAAGCACGTCGCGGCGCTCTGTGCGGGCGTTTCGCTCGCATTATTCACGATGCGTTGCAGCACGAAGTGAAGCCACGTGGTGCCTGTTTTCGGGAAGCCCATGACGTACACGTCCTCCTCCCTGGGCTCGTAACGAAAGGCTGATCGAAGCCACGACTCTTCGAACATGTCGCCCACCAGGATGCCTTCGAAGTGGTGAAGGTATTTCGCCTTGTCGGACGTCGGTGGTGAGCTTTCAGCTTTGATATCGGCCATGCCTCTGTACTAACACGAGGTTCTTCTTGACTGCACAGGAAGAATGCAAATTCAGTTATACGGAGTGATGCTTACCCCGAGCAGGTTAAGTGAATAATCCTGGCCAAAGTGCAATTTTAATTGTTGGGATTTAGCGTCCCAAAACCACCGTTTGGTTATGACAAACGCCGTAGTGGAAGGCTTCAGAAATTCTGACCTTCTGGGGCTTTTTAACGTGTGCCTCAATCTTAACACGCGAGCTCCAAGTATTTTCACCTCCACCGGAAATGCAACGGCTGCAGCCGGGAGTCGATCTCACAACCTGCGGGTCAGCAGCCGAGTGCCTTAGCCACTAGACCACCGTGGAGGGTCCCCGAAACAAATTTAATAACTGAAAAAAAAGTATTGATACTAGCTGTCCTGTCCAGCTTACGTGGGAAGCGTATTCGGAATGATTATCGGTAATTCTTAACGACAATTTTCCGTGAGATATACAGCCTAGTAGCTGACATTGTATACCGAGCTCTTTAAAGAGCAACAGAGTGACATAATTGTTTATTAATGTTGTCTGGAAATATGTACCGGTACAAAGTAATGTACGATTCACTATAAGAATATTTTAAAGAGCCACGCAAGTAAAAGTCTCTAGTGTCACCTTTTGTGGAAGTTGTTGTGGAACAGTCATACTCGTAAGGCTATGGTATACATAGAGTAACAAAGCAAAGTTGCTCTTCTTGTACATAGGCTACGCTGTAGTACCATTGGCTTATAGTTATTGAGGAGTCAAAAAATAATTGAGACGGGGATAAATAAATAAAACGGTGATGATAGTGATGGCTATGTTTGACACGAAGGCCGCGCAAAGGCTTCCCTTTTGCAAAAGTTACACCGGTTTGTACACTTGTAGCATTTGTAATTTAATGTAAGCTTATACATTTTGAAGCAGAGAATGACGCAATGCAACAACTTTTGCAAAAGGATAAACTAGAGAGCGAATCAACTTTTCCTTTTTGCAGATGTCAAGTATCAACAGCGAAACCGCATAACAAGACATCCCCGATGAACCCTTTCAAATTTACCACACTAACGATGGTATGAAGCCTTTGGCGAATATAGGTAGACCTATAAAACGGTGGTCAGGCTTTCTTCTGGATTTGCCCTTCTTCAGAAAACATGCCGTAAAACAGCCATGTGGGCTAGTTGGTAACGGGTAATTCCAAATGCAAAAGTGGGGCGCAGTACGCGGAACGGAGACAACAGAAGAGAACGGCCACACAGGCGAACGCTCGCAAGTGGATGTTTATTGAAGAGACAACACGTATATATAGCTATCGAAATTGGTACATGGTAAAATTTCCCTCACGTAAAAAAAGTAAAAAAAAAACTGTTATGTCCAGTGTTGTCGTCGGCCCATAGACGTACGCGTTGGTCGCGGTAGTCCAAAAAGCTCAGACAGCCTCGAACGGTTAAAAACAAGTTTATTCATATTCGGATGGAGGCGACGGCCTAACAGTGGCGGCAAGGATGGGATTTGGACCAACGCTACGCAACGATATTGACAAGCTACAAGCTATGGCTACGCACGGGCTCCCAAATCGGCTACCTGAATTCAACGGCTCATCATGGTCATTGTGGTTTGGACGCCTGCAATTTTACTTCGATGCTAACAACATCACTGATGCAGCAATGAAGAGGGCCAACCTGCTAACGCTGTGTGGGGAGCAGACATACGACACAGTCTGTGCCCTGATTCAGCCACGCACTCCAGCAGCCGTTGACTACGACGACATTGTAGCAGCGCTACAAGAGCACTATGACCCAAGGCCATCGGAGGTCTACTGTCGAGCCCGCTTCCAACGGCGAGACCAACTGGAAGGCGAAAAAGTGGCCGAATACGTAGCGGCTCTCAAAAAGCTCGCTGCTGACTGCAATTTCGGGACGTTGACCGCGACAGCTGCAGCTACTGCGCAGGAGGGAGGATCGACTGCCACACCTGCTAACACCACTATGCTCCCCTTGGACGTTATGTTGCGTGACCGTTTTGTGTGCGGACTGCGTGACGCAGGCCTACAACAACGCCTGTTCGCGGAGACGGGTCTCACCTTCTCCAAAGCCTACGACATCGCCCAACGAGCGGAGAGCGCCAGTCACCAGCAGAGGGATATTCGACGGAACGTCGAGCCGGTGCATCACACCAGTCAGCAGTCAGGTCATTCCACGTCTAAGGCGAAATCAAGCAGAAAGACACAGCGCTGCTGGCGATGCAACGACATGCACGATTCCCAGGTATGTCGATACAAGACAGCGACCTGCAATTTTTGCCAAAAACTGGGACACATTGAAAGGGCATGCATCTCGAAGCGCAAACAGCTCGGACCGAAGACTTTAGTGCAACGGAACAACAATGTCGACGCACAGGAGGGCCAGACGCAAGATACAAGCCGAACAGCACCAACGTCATCGGCACTATATGACTTAAACGCCGTTGTGAACCTCGGAACGAGACCGAAGAATACAACTGAAATTATGGTACACCAGCGCCCAATCAGGTTTGAGGTGGATTCTGGAGCAGCATGTACGCTCATCAGCGAGGACACTTTTCGCGCTACTTGGCGTGAGAACGCGCCAGCTCTCCAGCAAGACGACACGCAGCTGAGAACGTGGTCCGGACATTCCCTTCCACTGCTGGGCTGTGCCAACGTAGACGTGTACTACAACGGGCAGACCCATCAGTTCCCCTTGCTAGTCGTCCACGGTTCTGGATCAAGCCTTTTAGGACGAAATTGGTTCACCCCCCTTGGAGTGGTCATTGGCGGTGTTCACCACACACCCAGTTATACGTCAGTGGAGCAGCTTCAAGATAAGTACAAAGCGGTTTTCTCCGAAGAAATACCAGGGAACAACGGACCTCTAGTCACACTGGAGCTGCGGGAGGATGCGACGCCGAAATTTTCGAAAGCTAGGTCGGTGCCTTTCGCCCTGCGATCGTCAGTCGAGAATGAGCTTGACCGACTGCAGGAACAAGAGACCATCGAACCGACGCAACATTCGGAATGGGCGACACCACTCGTTGTCGTCCGAAAGAAGAACGGTACCCTACGCCTCTGCGGAGACTACCGGAGCACTGTCAACCTGGCGACAAAAGCACCTTCCTACCCACTGCCGACACCAGAAGAGGTTTTTAGCACGCTTCGTGGTGGAAAAATCTTCAGCACCTTGGACTTGACACAAGCCTACCAGCAGCTGAAGGTGAGCGAATCAACGTCTGAACTGCTCACAATAAACACTATTAAGGGTCTTTACAAAGTTAAAAGGCTACCATTCGGAATATCTGCAGTGCCAGAAATCTTCCAGAAATTTATGGAGTCTACACTTAGCGGGATCCCAGGTGTTTGCGTCTCTTGGACGGTGTTATTGTCGGTGGCGCCTCCAATGAAGAGCACACAGAACGCTTGGAGCTCAATTTGGAAAGGCTAGCAAATGCTAATTTGCGCATCAGTAAAGAAAAATGTGTTTTTGCGGTGCCTGAAGTGGAGTTTCTTGGACATCAAATTGACGCGCAGGGTATCCATCCCACTGAAGACAAAGTGCGTGCAATCACCGAAGCACGAGCGCCTACTAACAAGCAAGAACTGCAGTCGTTTTTGGGGCTAGCTATTGACGTTCTACGACCGGTTCTTAGAACATCGAGCTACAGTGGCCAACGATCTATATCAGCTCCTGCAGAAAGAAGTCCCATGGACTTGGTCGCCCCGCCACCAAGAGTCATTTGTTGCCCTCAAGCAACTACTTCGCAAGTCTACTGTTCTGCGACACTACGACGAAAGGAGACCCCTACTGCTAGCCTGTGACGCATCACCATACGGAGTGGGAGCAGTCCTCTCTTAAGTTGACGACCAGGGACGGGAAGCCCCGATCGCTTTTGCTTCGCGCACCCTATCGCAGGCAGAGAGGAATTATTCCCAGCTAGATAAAAAGCGACTTGCCATCGTCTACGCAGCAGATCACTTTCGGCAGTACATTACCGGCAAGAAAGTGACTTTCATAACAGATCACCGGCTCTTATTGGGTATTATGGGTCCCCAGAAGCCAATGCCACAGACATTGTCGCCGCGAATGACACGATGGTGCATCAAGATGTTGGCGTACGATTACGAACTCGTACATCGCACGGGAAAGAAACACCAGAACGCCGACGCACTAAGCCACCTGCCGCTAGACACCACAATAGATGAACCACCCCCGCCGGGTGATATACTTATGTTCGAGGCTGTCTGAGCTTTTTGGACTACCGCGACCAACGCGTACGTCTATGGGCTGACGACAACACCGGACATAACAACAAAAAAAACCTGAGTGACTATACCCGTTTGACAAAAAACAACAACAATATGAATGTCAAAACTTCCACCTGTGACTGTGCGCCTGTGTCATCGCTCTCTTCCCTAGTCTGTGTTTTGTACTGCGCCCAACTTTTTGCCGAAAACCTGTGTATCACATTGTGTTTTCATCTGTCGGTTTTCACGTGTGTTCTAGAGTCGCAAGGTGGTATTTGTAAACTACAATAAAAGTAAGGTTGCCGCACAAGAAGGCAAGGGCCTTGTGGATGACGATTATGTAAACGCTAATTTAGCATTAGGAGTCGCTTCGAAATATGCGAAAGAAGTTTGTAGGCTTTCTAAGATGATAGTATATACGGCGTTCCCTGGCGCCTGTAAACACCTCTTGAACTGTACGCAATACCCGAGCACACCATGTAGGAAATATGTGGTAGATAGTCTGGATATATATGAAGTCGTTAAAAAAAGGCAGTCTATTGCTCTTTGTGATGAGATATCTTCGGTGAAGGACATTTTTGGGTCCAATATTTAGACCAGAAAACTTGGCTTTAAAATTTGTTGGCCTGACGGAGACAATTTTATTAGTCGGAACACTGGCTGCAGTCACATGCTTTGCTGAAGAACTACTGATTAGTTAAAGCCTTTTTCGTTCACTGTCACGTTCTGTAAGTCATTCCAACA